GTGCAAAGACAGCAAGCACGGAGGTATCCAGGCAGGAAGTCAGCCCCAACAGACAGACTCAAGTTCGAATCCCGGGCCAGCACCCAGCACTCCCAGGACCTCCACCAGTCACCTCAGCTTTCTGAGCCCCAGTGTCCCCATCTTCCAAGTGGGGACAGGCCCCTGTGGTGATCTCGCGGGGTTCTGGGAGCACTGCACCCCTTCCCTGGTGCCTGGTGCTTAGTAAGTAATCGGTAAGACATCGTTACAACGGTGACCTGTCAGAGTCTCCGTGAGGACCAGATGGGATGGCTGGGACATCACAAGAGCCGGGGCCCTGCTGGAAGTGGGGGCGGGGAGGACAAGCGCAGAGCCGTCCTCCCCCCCAGAGCCAGGCGGTGACGGAGCCGGCCGGTTCCCCACGCAGGGGTCCACGCCCTGAGCACGTGTGTCTGATGTGTTTGAGGCCGGGAGAGCGAACCATGAGGCCGGTGACCGAGGTCCAAGGGCTAACCCCCCGGGGGCTGCCCTGGGGCAAACGGCCTTGGGAAGGGGTGTGGGGACAGCTTTATTCAAAGGCGACCACTCGGCAGTAGAATGGGAGAGACGAAGCCAACCCACCTCAGCCCAGGCCACCTCCCCCAGCCCCCAGCAGACCTCCTCTGTAAGCTCTGGCGTCTCGGTGCTTCCCAGACTTTGCTGTGCACACAGACCCCCGAGGAGCTTGTTAAAATCAAGCTCACTTCTGACTCCACCGCCCGGGAGAGCCCGAGAGTCTGCCTTTCCCGCCAGCTCCCAGGGGTCTGACGCTGCTGGTTCGGGACCAGACTCGGAATAGCCAGGACCCCAAACACTATAAAACATAGACCGTGAAAATGAATCATGATTTGGGCTGTGACTTGGTCTGACTTCATTCAGCAGGTTGCAAGGGCCTGTGGGAGCCCAGCCTCCCCGGAGGACGGAGGACGACGAAACACCCCCAAGGCCAGAGGCTCTGGCTTTGCCCCTGAGAGCACAGAGACAGACAGAGGGGGGCCCTATCGGCGTCAGTGACGTGGGCAGGGCTTCACACTCCGGGCCGCGCACCAGCTGCATCAGAACTGCCTGGGTGATCTGCCCAATGCAGATTCCGAGTCCCAGAGAGATGACTACTGCCTGGTTCCACTGACCCGGGGCATCTGAAGTGGCCAAGTTCACGGAGACGGCGAGTGGAACGCTGGTCCCCAGGGGCGCAGGGAGGGGTGGTGCGTCACGGCTGTCGAGCTCCTGGTCTGCGAGATGAAAGGCGTTCTGGAGCTCTGCCTCACAGCCGTGTGAACGGTCCAGATTGTACATTTCACGTTAGGTGGTTTTCTGCCACTGTAAAAAAATAAATAAATAAATAACACAGACTCTGCTCTGACCCCTGAGATCCTAGTTCGGTTTTGTCTGGAGCAGAGCCTAGGAATCTATTTTTAAAAACCTCCCCTGGGGATCTGGTGCACGGCCGCTCGGGGACCCCCCTGGTTGGGGAGAGGCTAGACCCTGAACATCTCCCGAACCTGCCCGCTGCCCCCACCTTGGCCTCCACTTTTGGAGCCCCAAGCCCACGCCCCCACTCTCCTGGCCTCCCTCCACCGCGCAGCTGCCCCAGTGACCTTTCTAGATCACAAACCCGATCCTCGCACGGCTCCATTAAAGCCGCCGCGTGGCCTCCCATTGCCCTTGGAACAAAACGGAGGAAAGGCACTGAGTCAGGGAGTCAGGTGTGTCTGGGGAGCGAGACGACAGGGAGGCCGTGGAGCGGCGGCGCGGGCCTGGGCAGGGTCCCTGGGCTCCGGGAGGCAGAGAGCGGCTCTGCCTGGGGTGGGGCGGGATGGGGGGCAGGAGGGCGTCTCAGACAAGAAGCAGTGCCCTGGGCCCTGGATGCTGAGCTGCTGTTTGTCAAGGACTGGGGTGAAGGCAAGGGCAGGGGCACCGTGGGAAGGACTCCAGGCTGAGGGCACTGTCCACCCCACCCCCACCCCAGACAGAAGAGGGGAGGGAAGGGGAGGGCTGAGCTGAGAGAACAGTGAAAGGTGAGAATGTGAAGAGGGTGGGGAGGAGCACCCAGGAAGAAGGTGAAAGCCCCTTTCTGCTGGGGCAGGCTGTGGGCGGGTGGGGGGACAGTGAGGGCCTCCAGGGCTGGTTCCACCCTGACCTGGACGCCTGGGGCCGGAGTCGGGGCAAGGTGAGGGGGCATGGCTCCACTTGCACAGAACCCAGGGTTTCCCACCTATCCGAGCACATCCCTGGCTCTCCACCCACTCCCCAGGGCTGACAGTGTCCTGTGGACCCTGCTCCCTTCCTGTCGCCTGTGTGTGTGTGTGTGTGTGTGTGTGTGTGAGAGAGAGAGAGAGAGAGACAGTCTCTGCAGGGTTCTGGGGCCGCACAGTTCCCCTCTTTGCCTGGCTGCGTGTCTGTGTTTGTGGGTGTCTCTTAAACGCTGGGGTGCCACAGCATATACAAGCTGATGAGCATGGCCCCTCAGATCCTCAGGAAGCCCTGGAGCCCTCCTAGGATGTAAGAGGAGTTCTGGGGGCCCTGTGGATAGGGACCTAGCACCAGGGAGCTGGAGAGCTCCAGTCCACCCCCGCCCCCTCCCACCCCACCCCGCACCCCCAGATGAGCGCACAGCCCCCGTAGAAAGAGATGCAACCACAGCATGAGGCTGGGCCCCGTCCCTCTGCAGTCCACTCCGGGCCCCCGGGTAGCTCCCGTCACAAGGAAGAGGCATTCAGGAGCAACCCTTACCCAGCATTCATTTCAGGAAGGTCCCCTTTCATCACGTTAGCGATCAGATAAGTGGGTCTTCTGGGGCTGAGGGCTCCCCCTTCCCCATTGAGGAAGCTGTTTTCTCTGCCCCCACAACACACACACACACACACACACACACACACACACACAGTTCTCTGACTGGAACAGAAAAGAGGACCCAAGGGCCGCATGCTCAGGGCCAGCGTCCCAGGGCCCCAGAGGGAGGGACATCACGGTCACCTCGGGGCTCACACAGGCTTCTGTCTTTTGGGGAGAAGATGGGGATAAAGATACCCCTGCGAGCGCTGCAAAAGAAATCACGCCCCCTAACTGTCGGCAGGAAGGTTGGCTGGATGCCGTGCAAACTTGTTCCTCGGACCGGTGAGCTCATGGCACCGGAGCATCTGAAGGTGCCCAGAGCTGCCGGGAGGAATGAGCAGGCCCCAGAGAGGCCAAGGTTACACTGAAGGCACCCGGGAGTGGAAAGAGCACGGACCAGGAGTCCGCCCGGGGCGCTCACACCGGCTGCGCTGCGGCCCTGACTTTCTGGACCTTGGCAAACGCGACTGCGTGAAGACAGGGTGGCACCTCGCTGTGGTCCCGGGTGGTGGTGTTGGGATCATTATCTCTACTTGGGGGGATGAGGACATTGAGTTTCCCTGAGGGGGGAACCCCCTTTGCTACAGCTGGCAGTGAGGGGTCAGTGCTGGACCCCTGCTCCAAGCTGAGGGCTATCCATGAAGGGGCTGTATGTGTCCGCTGTGGGGGCAGACATTCCCTTGGCGTCCACTAAGAGGCGCTCTAGGCTGTTTCTTCTTGTTGGCACCAGCACCTTCATCCTCAGCCTGTGCGGTCTCCCCTGAGTGGTCCCTGAGCTGGGTGGGGCTGGGGGCCAGCCACCGGGACAAGGTTGGAAGTCACACTGGTCCTCTGTCCCCCTCCTAACCTGCCTCCTGGAGCAGCCTCCTGCCTTCACTTTCCAAGGGGAGGGAGGTAACAGAAGGGTCTCCAACCCACAGATCCCTTCCTCAGGTCCCTTGTGAGTCCCCTGTGTCAGATTGGAGTCAGCAACAGATATCAGAGGCTCAGAGAGGGTTAGAAACTTGCTCAAGGTCACACAGCCAGGTCTATCTGCTTCTAAACATCAGAGCCCAGCCCTGGTTCAGGAGAGGCTCAGGGTGGGGGCTCTAGGCTCAGCCTCTCACACGGCCCTATAACACTCGGGGGAAGTCCTGGCCAGCTGGGCCTCTGAGCCTCGGTGGCGACAAAACGTCTAAGCCTTCCCCAGAGTGTCTGTCCCATTGCTGAAGGGTCAGGGGCTTGGTCCAGGCAGTGAGGGCCAGGCTGGGGAGGCACTCAGCTGTCAGCTGGTGGATGTGGTTGGCATTGGTGTTGCCATCTCTACCAGCAAGTGGGTGTTTAAGGGGGAAGGGGGGGGCAGAGGGGCTGTGGATGGGGCTCAGGACCTCCAGGTCACTCTGGCTCTCAACTCTGACTGGCAGAGCGTAGGAGGAACAGGAGAGCTGGGGGCGAGGAGGGGCCTGGGTGGGGGGAGGAGTGGGGAGGCTGTGCTTTGAGGAGGGGTCGAGCAAAGGCTCAGAGAGGTGGAAGGATCCAGCAGGAGCTGGCATGGAGGTGACCCGGAGGTGCTTCGGTGCCCAAGAGGAGCTGAGCTGGGGGAGGGAAGGAGGGGACAGGGACCCTGAGTGTGGGTCCTTCTCTCTCTTCCCAGCTCTCGGGAGGGTGGTGTGGGCTTGCCAGGGAAGCAAGAAGGAAGCTGAGTGTCAGAGAAGAGAGCCTCCTTGGTTCCCCAGAGGGACAGCCAGCCCTCCACCCGCTCGGGCTCTCCCCGGCAGGAGCCTCCCCCAGAGCAGGCCTGAGTCTGCTCCGTCCTCTCCCCAGCACGGAGACTGTTACTCGGGTCAGCCTGCGAGGGTGGAGGCAGGGTCAGGCCCAGGGCTGGGCTCTGGGTTCGGCGGGGGGAGGTGAGCACAGCCCGGGCTCCAGAACACGTAGCCAAGCCAAGGAGAAAGGTACCGAGGAGGGCTGCTGCAGGTGTGGGGGCTCCGTCGCCCCAGGAGACTGAGGCATGAGGGGGTTATGGGCCAGAGGAGTCATCCTGGAAAAATCCCAGCCCTTCCCCAGGCAGGTTCCAGAACCTGTTCTCCCAGCCCGGGGCCCTTCCCTCCCTCCCAGCGACATGTCCAGGGGCACCTGACTTGAACAGGCTATAAATAGAGGGATGACGGAAGGCTCCGGAAGCCCAAGGGAGGGCAGGAGACAGGGATTCTGATTCTCCCCAGAGGGGCCCAGCGAGGCTACTCTGACAAGGCAACAGTTCCGTGGTGAGTCTTCGAGGTGGAGCAGGGGGTCTCCCCGGCAGAGGAGGTCTGCGAGGGCTGATCAGGCAGAGGGGACACTCTGGGGACATAAGAAATGGAGCAGGTAGTGACCCAGTGGCCGGGCAGAGGCTGCATGGGGCGATGAGAGGTGAGAAACCCGATGACTGGAGGCCTTGAATGCCAGGGTGAGGGCTTCGTTCTGGGGTCCACATCTTGCTCTCACTAGGAGGCACCCGAGACTGTTCCTCCCCCTTGCTCCCAGGCTGGTTCTGGTTTATGTGAAGGGGGGTTAAGAGCAACACACGAGAACAAGTCCAGGGAAACTGCAGGTGGCCTGGGGCGCTGGATCAGCAAGCACATGGCCATCCCTCCCTGATGGGGTGGAAGAGCGTTATGGTGTGCCGGAGACTGCTAACTGTTCCCCAGTATCTGTTCTCACTGTCTTCTTTGCCATAGAAACCCTGCTTTTTACTAGCTGGACACAAAACCACTCGAAATGAAGACTATATTTCCCCGCCTCTGTTACAGCTCACTATGGCCGTGTGAACAAGTCTGCCACCTGGGATGTAAGGAGCAGCGTCCTTCAAAGGCTGGCTGGAGCATGCCTGTGATTGCTGGAGCTGGAGCAGCCATCTTGGACCACGAGGCAGACGCCACATGTTGAGGGTGACCGAGCAGCAGGAAGGAAGGAAGGGACCTGGGTTCTGATGTTTATGGAGCTGCCACATCAGCCCTGGACTAGATACCTCCGAGTGTTGCTTGCCTGGAAGAAAAATAAACTTCTATGTTGTTTAACACACTGTTTCTTTGGGTTTTTAAAATCTTCTTCAGCTGAACATAATCCTAAACAACACACATGTCAGAGGGGAAGCTTAAGAGCCCTTAGCATTCGATTGTTCTGCCACAGAAATAAATCCACAAACACAATTTAAAAAGGAAAACCCCAGGGGTATTCACACCTCTGACCAGGTAACAACAGACACATTACAATTACCTTCCAGGTATCATCCCTCAATCACTGGACACGTTCCAGAACCTTCCTTCCCTGCAGTTTCAGTAGAATGCTTAGAAATTAGCTTTTGTTGGAGATAATGTGCAACCCCCTGAGAGAGCTTGGCTCCCTGAGCCAGGCCCTGAATCCAGATGAGCCCAAATGCCACGATTCGGGGCCTCCTCTCCCCACCTGAGGCCCACACGCCCGCTGAGCCACTGGCCGTTGGAGGAGTGTGGACAGAGAGAAACTGGAGCCAGCCACCTCGGCGTCCCGGGCGGGTCCTGTTCGGCCCCCTCCCAGTGGCCCGGGTTGTGTGGTCTTCCCTCTACCACGGCGACACAGTAATGATAATAGTTGCCGCTTCACGAAGACCCGCTAGTGTTCCACTTTCTGCGAGAGACCTGGACACATGCCCCCTTCCCTCGGCTGGCATGGAAAGCGGGGAGAATGCAGCCCTTGGCCAAGGCTTTAATGGATGGAGCCCTTTCCGGGAGGCGCTCCCTGCGTAGCTGAGAAAATGGTCATTAAAGGCCCGGGCACTGCTCTGCACGGTCATGCCACTTACTGGATCCAGGGTGGGAGTGGTGTCCAGAGAGGGAGGCAGTGGGGAAACAGTTCCCTCCTCACGTTGTCGTCGTTCTGTCTCTGAGTCTTTCATTTGCCTTCAGGAGCGGCTTGTGCGGCTCCCAGAGCTTGTGGGTCAGGCCACACCTGCAGAGCAAACTCTGGGGGTGGGCCGGGGTGGGGGGTCTGCCAGGACCTCACAGGACTGCCACCAGGGCCCAGCCCACCCGTCGTCCCTGTGCCTGCCGGTTCTGGGCGGGGTGCCTCAGCCATCCCCACTCCCCTGGCTGCTGGAGGGAGGCCTCTCCCGGCAGGTGGGGGCGGGATCTGCCCCAGGCACGCCAGCAGGCTGAGGTGGAGGGTGCGGGGTGAGGGAGCCCGGCTGCCTGGATTTGATTACACGCTGTAAAGCTGTGTAATTACTCCAGCCCAGCAGGAAGGGCGCATCCCGTGTGGGGAGGCAGAAGACTTCAGTGGTTTCCAGCACAGACCCTGGGGCCAGGCTGCCCGGGTCCGAATCCAAGTTCTGTCCCTTCTGGGACATCCCTTCAGCCCTCAGTGTCCTGGTTTCCTCCCTGTGACGTGGGCTGATGACAACGACTCCCTGGAGGTTTTCAAGGAGGCAGTAAGGGCAGTAAGGGTGTCCTGACGACAGCCTGGTGTGGGTGGTGTGGGGGGACCAGGATCCGTGGGGTCATTCCTAGAGGCTCCAGCGTGGCCAAGAAGCAGGATCTTTCTGTGTCCGTGTGTGTGTCCGTGTGTGTGTGTGTGTGTGTGTGTGTGTGTGTGTGTGTGTTAAAGCTGAACCTGGGAAGCACCCCACCCAGAGGCGCCACACCTGAGTGGCTGCCTCAGGTGGAACGGGAGATTCAGCCTCTGCCCGGCTTTCGCACCGAGCTGAAGGCGCCAGCCACCTCGAGGGGCCCAGGGCAGGGCACACGGCACAGGGCGGGCACGTAGCTGGTTGTCTCACTTTACCCTCTCCCCACCACTGGGGGGCTGGCCTTTTCTGCCCCATTCTGCCCGTGAGGAACTGAGGCCCGGGGACATAGAAATGGGGCATCCATCCCAGGCTTCACATAGCCCGGGGCCCCCCATTCCTGACCAGGACATCTGGCCTCCTGGCTCCGAGGTGAAGCCGCCTCCACCCACCTCTGGGGTGCGGAGGGGGCCGGGAGCACTTTCCCTCAGCTGACTCTCTCCCCCCGGGTCCAACCTCTACACCGACTCACTTTTCTAGTCCCACCTGCTGGCTGCCCTTTTGTCTGTTTATCCCAAAGAGCAGAGACTTCACACCGACCCTGTCCTGTAAGGTCACAGGCAACGCACAGGGCAGGCACCAGTTTCCTTCTAGAATGTGCCCTGGACCCTGGGAGGAGGTCAGGATGCAACAGGAAGGGACCTGCCCTGCAGTCAGCCAGGAAGGCTCCCTGGAGGGGGTGGGCCTTGAGACAGACTCGGAAGAGGTGAGGCCCCTCTGCAAAGCCATGCAAGGAAGAGCACAGGGCAGCTGCCAGGAGCTCTGGTGTCCGCAGGCCCAGGCTCCAATCCCCCAGTCTTACAGCCAGCTAGCCTGGTGACCTTGGGCCTGGTCCTCACCCTCCCTCCGCCTCAGCACCCTCGCCTGAAGCACAGGCACCCAGAGTCCCTGACGAAGGAAGAGTGTGAGCCCAGAGGCCTGGGCCTTCCCTGTGCGCGTCCAGCAACTTTGATGCCGACCGCGGTGGAGCCCGCCGGACGCTTGTGTGGTGCGGCGGACCTCACACGTACCGCCTCACTTCGACTTCACGAACGACCTTACTTGGGAGATCCTGTGATCGTCCCCCTTTTTCAGATGAGGAAACACACCCAGAGAGGTTTGCCACTTGCCCAGTGTCACACGGTTGGCAGGTGGCAGAGAGGAAGCTGGAACCCAGGGCCGTCTGATTCTCAGAGCCTGAGTCTCTAGCGCTCTGGCCGCTGTGTCCTGCCCTCCCTCTCAGGCTTGCCCGTCGCCGACGGGCAGGGGTGGGCGGGTGGCATTCAGCTCCACCAGGACTTGCCGCCCTGGGTGCCAGCTACGGCAGGAAGGCTCCCTGCTGATCCTGGTGCCACTGCCAGGACTCTCTCAGGAGAGTCCGGGGTCCGCCCCTAGGGCAGCGGGAAGCAGGGGCTGGGGTGAGAACCCCTCTTTGGGGCCTCATTGTTTTGCCCCTGCCGTGTTGGTGGTGGTGGGGGGGTCTTTTAGGTGGAAAGAGCTGGGTCGCCCCTCCCCCCCACCGCCCCCTCAACCCCTGCCCAGGCTCTGCCAGCTAAATTTAGGTGCCGGGATCTGGAGAAACAAGGGTAATTAAGGGGTATTGTGTCACTTTCCAGCTGCCTCTCACATCCCCTGAGCAGGCACACGCCACTCGGGCAGGAGGGAGGAGGCGTGTGGGACCCAGAGGGGAGGAGAGGGAGGAGTGGACAAGACAGCTGGGGCCGGAGGAGGTGGGCGAACCCTCAGCCTTCACCCCAGGCTGGAGGGCCTGAGGCGCAGGGCTGCCTGGGCCTGGATACTACTCCTGCGGCCCTGGGACCCCGAGGGTGGGGGGGTCACAGGAAGGTGATATTTAGCCGAACGCCCCAAGGGCACCCTCCAGCGAACACCACCCATAAACGGAAGATCCGGGGCCTGAAGTTCACTGCCCTCGTCATTGGACGTGCTCTGCCCAGGGGAAAGCCACCGAGTATTGATCAGGCATAGGGTGCAATAGGACTGATCCCTATGCTCTCAGCGAGTCCTCCGGCAGCTCTGCAGGGAAGTGTGGGAGGCCGCTCCGCGTGGCGTGGGCCCAGCTCCCACTGGGAGATGCACAGGACCCACACCCACGGATAGGTTCTCCCGTGGAGAATCAGGCCTGCAATGTGCCTAGGCTGCTGTGAGTCTTGCTTTTTGCTAACACTCCCTCACCCTGAATTGAGGACATTTACTGCAAAGTAACTTCCTAAAAACCATGCTAAACCTTCCGAGGATGAGTGTAACGGTTCAGCTACTTTTCCCTTTTCATTTGCAAATATGCCTCTTCTGTGGCGTGATTATCAGCATCCTCTCCTTTGTTTTCTGTAAAAGGTAACCACCTAAGGAGAGCCTGTGCATAGTTAATGAGGACCTTCTTGTAATGTGCCCAGGAAGACAATAAAAGCTCATTGGAGCGAGGGCCAAGGCTTTTGCTCCCCTTGAGAGAAAAGCCATGCCGTCCCTTTTCCTCCACCGGACTCGGTAGTCCGTGTGAATTTGTCTCATATTTAATCCATAGTGATGCGGACCCCACAAGCCCGGGTCCGCATCAGGAAAGGCATCATCCATCCCATCTCACAGAGCAGGGAGCGGAGAAGGTGGATCTTCTGGCTCACATAGCTGGGGCTTGCAGGGGCCCGGGACGAAGCTGGCCGGCTGGCCTGAGAGCCATGTTCTCAGCCACGGCCACAGCTGGCCGGCCCACAGCGGTGAGTGCAGCTACCACTCTGTGACCAGAGATAAGCCACCAGGAAGGCTTTGCCAAGAGGAGAAGAAGCATTTGACGTGGTAAGAACCTCTACAAGGACTGCGAGATGAGTAAGGCCACCTCGAAATGCACAGACTAGTGTCGAGGCAAGCCTGAGGCTCCTGTCTTGGGCTCGTAAGGATTGTTGCTGTCTCTCTGTAAGCATTAAAGCCAGACCTGAATTTCCCAGTTAAAAGGCGGGCAAAGGATTTGCACGGATACTTCTCCAAAGAAGATACACAAACAGCCAATAAGTCCAGGAAAGATGCTCAGCATCATTCGTCATCAGGCCAAAGCCAATCAAAACCACCGTGAGATGCCCTTCCATCCCCGGTAGGGTGGCTGGAATCACAGAGACCGACAATCACAAGTGCTGACAAGGAGGCGAAGAGAACGGAGCCCGTGCGCACTGCTGGTGGGAATGCACAACGGCGCAGCCGCTTCGGAAGACAGTCCGGCGGTTCCTCGAAAAGTTAAACGACGGAGTGACCACACGGCCCGGCAATTCCACTCCTAGGTAGGGACCCGAGAGAACTGAAAACATATGCGAACAAAGAAAAAAATTGTACGTGGATGTTCCTAGCAGCTCTGCTCGTAACAGCACCAAAGTGAAAACGATCCACACACCAGTCGGCTGACGAATGGCTAAACAAGATGTAGTCTGTCCTTACGATGGAATATTATTCAGCCCCCAAGAGGGATGAAAGGACAAGGTAGCATCCCACATGCTACTGCCGCACGAGCCTTGAAGACGCTGTGTAACTGGAAAAGACACCGGCGTTCGGGCTGCCTGTCACTACCAAATCCAATTAAGCAATGACAGTGATTGAATCTTTTATAGGCGCTTTATTCAGATGGCCGGGCGATCCGAGAAGATGGCGGGTTCATACCCTAACAAACCATCTCCCTCTTTCTTTCCCAGCCAGATCTTTTATAAGGGGGTTGGGGGAGGGCAAACAAGGTGTCAGCGAAAGCCTTTGAAATTCAACAGTTGCCTCCAAGGGGGAAGGGTAGTCGCTTGCTTCTTCCTGGTACAGACGTCTCCAGACTGAGGCAATCCCCAGTCAGGAGGTCAACTGCTGAATCTGAGGCGCCAGGATGGGCCTTATCTGTAGTTACTGAAACAAAAACTTAACATACACATTACTTGCTAGATTTATGACTATTTACCTTAAGTTAAATTTTCCCAAGTCTTAAACCCCTATCAGCTGTGCTAAGTAAAAGAGCCAGACACTACAGGCTACTTGTCGTGGGATTCCACTACAGGAAGCATCCAGAACGGGCAAAGCGTAGAGACAGGAAGGAGCTTGGTGATTTCCAGGGGCTGGGAGCCGGGGGCAGATGGGAAGGGACAGCAGGGTCCCCTCTGGGGGGGTGACGTCAGTGTTCCGGAATCAGGTAGTAGTTAGTGATGGATAGGTAACTGTATAAATACATCAAATGCCACCAAATTTTTCCTTGAAGAGGGTGCACTTCATGGTATGCGAATTCTGCTATAAAGTATCAATAAAGCTGTTACTTTAAAAAAGAAAAAAGCAGATCCGCCTCTAATATTTGCAGGAGCACAAATGGAGACCCACATACCATATGTTTAAATATTTAAAAACCGAGCAAACAAGCTGTTAAATAAAATATGTTCCCTTCTCTTACCTTGACAAACACCCCTCCGTAGTGGCGAAACGGAAAAGTGTGTATAAAGCGATGGTTTTTCTAGGCACGAAAGCTGGCGTGTTTGGGTGTTGTGCCGATGAACCAACCGGCTGTGTTTGGACAAGCGAGGAAACGAAGACGTACATCACTCAAATTATTACAGTTGTGTTCCGCAGAAATGTTCACAGTCGCCCTCTCACCGAAGTTGCTAATTGGTGTTCTAGTCACAGGACTCATCTAAAATACTGAAAGAAATATTGTTTTCATCAAAAAGATAAATAGGCCCTAGCTGGTGTGGCTCAGTGGATTGAGCACCAGTCTGTGAACCAGAGGGTTGCTGGTTCGATTCCCGGTCAGGGCACGTGCCTGGGTTGTGGGCCAGGTGATGTTTCTCTCCCTCTCTTTCTCCCTTCCTTCCCCTCTCTAAAAATAAATAAACAAAATCTTAAAAATAAAGATAAATGGCTATACATTTAGAATTTTAAAAATATGCTTCAAAAAGGTGTTTTTTCTAGAATGTCAAAAGTTATTGATTGAAATTCAGAGGCAGAATACAAGTTACATTACAACCCATAAAGCATTTAAATCAAATCTGAATTTTTATTAATTTTTTGAAATGTTAATGAAATGTCATTAAACGTTTTTGAGAAAATGACACTAGCGATTCTAGTGTTTGGAGCCCATCTAGGCGGTAATGCAAATCATGAGGATCACACCCATGCCTGTTATGCCTAAATTTATAGGGACGCGAATTATTTAAATGTGGCGAGATGAGTGCCTGTCCACCAGCGCGGGCGTTTTTGCGGATATAGCGTTGATTCCCGAGAACCACGGGAAGGAAGAGTCAGTACGAGAAGAGGAACAGCGAACGGGCCCTGGACCCGAGTCTGGGAGTGGGGCTGCGGGACACAGTAAACCTTCCCTGGGCTGCGCCTCCTGAACATGCGCATGCGCTTGGCGCTCACTCTGCACAGCTGTTTTAAAGCTGCGGGCTCGGCCTCCGGTGTTTCAGCTAAGAGAGCCGTGAGCGATGCTCCAAAACTAGCCCGGTGCCTGTTCCCCCCTGGCCTGAACGTGCAGCGCCAGGCGGCCACTGCGCACCCGCACACCCCCGCACCTCCGTGGAACACCACGTGACTCCGCAGGCCCCAGGGACGAGCCTTCGATGACTCCAGCCTCCCTTTCTCCTTTGCCTCTTGTTCTCCTTGCTGAGCCAGCCAGGCCTCTGCCCGGGAAAGGCCCACTTTCTGGAACACTCTTTTCCCTGGCTCTCCTCCTCCTCCTGTAGGCTCCTTTGTCTCTCTGGGCTGCCCTCGAGAAGGAGCTCAGGGAGCACAGGGACCTGCAGCCTTGCTCATGGCTCATCCCAGGACCGCGGCTAAGCTGGCTGAGCAGGGGGGTGGGCCACCATGTAAGGGCCCAAAGGGGCCTTTTCCTCTCTGGCGATGTCTCTGAGTGACAGGTGGGGCCCTCCCAGAGGAGTCTGGGAAGCAGTTGGGGCCAGGTGGGTGGCACTTCATGGTCCCCCTCCCCTATGACCTGCACAGCTGAGGCCAGAGGCCCTGAGGACAGACTCCTTGTCGCCTGGTCCACTTCACAGAGTGGGGGGGGGGTCCAAGAGTCCCTGCCACGCAGGGAGCAGGGAGCGGACAGTCAGGAAAGGTCAGCCACTGTCACCCGAGTAACGTTGTCTTGTGATTATACACACTCTCGTTAACCCGCGCCCAGACCCTCTCACTCACTGTATTCACCTCCGAGGGCTGCTGGCCCCGAGCACCACAGACTGGGCGCCACACAACCACAGATGTGGATTGTCTAGCCCCACCGTTCCGGGGGACAGGGGTCTAAAACGGGGGCGTCAGCCGGGCCCTGCTCCCTCTGAAACCTGTGGGGGAGGACCCCCCACTTACCCTTCCGAGCTTCTGGGGGTGGCCGGCAATCCTGAGGGGCCTGGACTCGCAGCCGCATCTCCATCCCCGCCTCCCCCGTCACGTGGTGCTCTCCGCTCGTGTCGCTGTCTTCACATGGCTGCCTTCTTCCTTCTCGGGACACCTGTCATAGTGGACTAAGGGGCACCCTCCTTCAGTGTGACCTCCCCTTAACTCGATGGCATCTGTGATGTCCCTTTTCCAAATAAGGTCCTGTTCTGAGGTCCTGGGGGTTAGACTTCAGCATGCCCCTGAACGGACAAGTTCAAGGCAAAAATGCTCCTCAAAGCATCGCCAGCAGCTGGCCCAAGAGAAATCTGTGCGATGGACAATGACAATGAATACATGCGGTTTTCTGACTGCGAGCCCCAAGGGCAGGACTCGGCTTCCCTATCTCTGTGTTTTGGGGACCCAGGGCAGAGCCTGCTCTCCTGGAGGGCCTGTAGGTGGATTTTAATCTAGATGCATCTCCGGGAATTGGCCTAGCTGGTTGGCTGGCCACGCCACCCATGACAAGAGTCCTCTGGGGCCGGAGGGGACACAGATGGGATGGGGCTCAGTGGCGGGGGGGCGGGCCTGACTGCTGAGCCCAGAGGAGCTGACAGCAGGCTCAGCATCCCTGCCACTCAGCACAGACGGGGCAATCCCCAGGGAGACGTCACAGGCAGCCGGGGGCGACTGATTTTTCGGTGTCACTGCTAATCCGGGGGCCTGTGCGTCAGGCAGTGACTCGCAGTGGGAGGGGGAGGAGATCCTGGCTGTGGGGGCCTGACGCTGAGTCATGGGACAGCGGGCTCCCCAAGCCTGAGCGGAGAGGGGCGGGCAAGCTGGTCTGGAGGGAGCCCCCTCCCAAGCCCCCTGCCCATGGCCCCTGCCCCCTGCCCCTCCCGTTGTTCTATGAGGCTCCAGCATCCGATGGCCAGCCCCAGCCCTGCTGAGCTCGGAGCCCTGGAAGGGGAAGAAGGACTGAGACAGCAACTGTAAAGGTCAGCAGCCCCTGGGACCAGGAACAGCCATGATGCAAATGTGGAATTTACACTCCCAGTGCCCGCTGGCCAGCCCGCCCGCCTGTCTGTATGCCAAGCAGCAGCCTGGGCAGCGTGGGTACAGCAGATGTCCTGGGCCCTGCCTGGAACAGGGTCGCTCTGGGGCTTCCCCAAGGAGGGCCCTGGCTGTGCATGGGGGGAGGGGCCTCAGCTTTGGCTGGGGCCTGTCCTGCTGGAACCCGGCTGCCAGCCTGGGATTTCCAACGTCAGCTTTCCTGGCTCCGTGGCTGAGACACCCCAGGGGCCGGGCATGGGAAGAACAACTGGACGCCAACCAATCCTCTTTTCCATTTCTCTGGCTGCGCCCAGATGCTTTCCAAGGCCAATTCCGTCAATGAGACTTCATCGATCACGCCACGCGGAAACCCGGAGTCCTGCGATGAGCCGAGGGCTTTGCTCTAACCCCCCTGACAGCCCCGCTGAAACCGTCCTGCTGTCCCAGGAGAGGAAACCGAGGTTCGGAGAGGGAAGTCCCCCGACAGGATCGCACGGCCGTAGAACGACAGAGCTGGGACTCAAACCGCGTCTCCATCATCACCTACGTCTCGGGAAGCAGCGCTCTGATCTTCATCCAGCCCCCCCCTTTCCTGGCCACCTTCCTTCACATCGCTGAGCTCAGCAGGCCTGGGAAGATATCCTCTTCCCCTTGCACCAGGCCCCAGGAGTCTCTGTGTGTGTGCGTGTGTGTGTAAGTGCGTACATGCTGAGTGACCTTGAGACCTTCCCCTAGCCTCCCGGGGCCTCAGACTTGCCAGTGACCACCAGGACACTGCTCTAGGATCTCTCTAAGTTGGCCTTCCGCCCCCTCCTCCTCCCGTCTGGAAACCCCGTGGCTGAGTCGACTTCCCTCTCTCTTTGCAATCCCGGCGCCCACCTGCCCCTGGCAACCAGCATAGAACTTGACACCCCGTGGGTGCTTGATACAACGTACCCTCACCCGAGTGACAAACCTGCCATTCTGAGTCCCAGGGGACGCCGTCCACGGCCTCCTCGGAGGCTGCCAGGGCAGAACACTTCTGGGAGCTCCATCTTCATCTGCAAACTTACTGTTCTCTCTCACCGGGCTGCTGGACCATCAGTGCCTTTCATCCTGTTGACACTTGGTTAACTAGTTTCTGCTGCCGGTGACAGAACCTCTGGCCCCGCCTGTGCTGGGCAGGCCGGGGTCAGAGTTCAGAGCTGTTGTCAGGCTATTTGGGGCCTGTGGGGGAGGGGAGCAGGGGGGACAAGAGGACCTTAATAGAAAAGGCCTTTCAGTTCAGTCTCCGGTTGGATGAAATAAGGGGGAACAGCCCCTCCCGGCACCTGGAGGGTCCTCCTCCTCCCTCGGGATACAGACCAGCCCTGGAAGAGCCGGCAGATCTGGGAGGCGCTTCACAGTTTACAGGAGGCCGTGGGCCCAATGCAGTGAGAACCTGGGGAGGCAGATGGACAGGCCCAGACCCCCCGCAGTGTGGTGGACACTGAGGGGGAGTCAGGACACACTCACCAGTTGGTTGTTGGCTGTGACGGAGAGCTCCAGGAGCACGGGCTCCGTGGGGGGCAGAGGGCCAGGCCTGAGGGACCCGGCACTAAGTGTGGACAGGCCGCTGGGGCTGTGGGTTGCCTGGGGAGGCCAGGGGGAGGGCTCTGGAAAGGCAGAGGCCCGGGGGAGCAGCCTGCAGAATTTGCTGCCAAGAAACAAACCCCAGCGCGTGCCAAGGGAGCTGGTGTCGGCTCTGTCCTCCAGGGACGCCGATCCCAGGAGCTCAGGACCAGTGGAGCCCACCTGCCCCTGAGCCTCTGCCCTGGGAGGACAGAGCTGGGACTCTGGGGGTCCTTCTTGGGGAGGCCCCACCCCCAGGAAGGGCTGTCCACTCCTGGGGGAGGCAAGATTTCAGGGTGGGCTCAGAGCTCCAATGGGGTTGGGGAGGGCAGGGAGGCCTGCAGGATCTTCTGTAGCCCTTCGCTGCAAGACAACCTAGAACGAAGAAGGACCACAGGCAGCAGGTGGACGATCCGGGTTCAAATCTCCGCTCTGCCTCTTCAAGGCTGTGAGACCTCAGGAAAGCCCCTCACCCCTCTGGGCCTTGGTTTCCTCCCGTACAAAGTGGGACAACTGCTCTCTGCGTCCAACAGCTCCTTGTGAGAAAGGAGCGCCATGTCCCGTGTAACCCGAGCCTGGCAGGGCGCCTTCCCGCTCAGTGGACAGCCACCGACGTAATTGCCGTTTTGAGATTCCTAACCGCACGGACACACCATCGTTCAAACAGCAAACTGGCCCAGCGCAGAGCTTGGTGAAGCGCCGTGCTGGTGAAACCGTGGCAGAGCAGGCCAGTGCAGACACGGCCGGTGGGAGCGCGGCGCGGCGCCACTCGGCGACGGCAGTTTGGCCCTCTCCATCCCTTTGCCGGTGCGCGTGGACGCGCCCACCCCGCCATTCCACCTGTGGGAGCCTCTCTGCAGGTTGGCCAGCACGCGTTTGGGTCACGTGTGTACAGGGCTATTGCAACATTTAATGTGATTACCAAGGACTAGAAATAAGCTAAGTGTTCTTCAATACGGGATCAATTAAAGAGTTTGTGCCCTGGCTGGTGTGACTCAGTGGACTGAGCGCCGGACGGCGAAGTCAAGGATCACCGGTTCGATTCCCAGTCAGGACACGTGCCTGGGTGGCAGGGCAGGTGCCCAGTCGGGGGCATGTGAGGGGCTACCACATATCGATGTTTCTCTCCCTCCCTTTCTCTCTCCCTTCCCCTACTCTAAAAACAAATAAATAAAAATCTTTAAAAAAAGAGAATTTGTAACCCCTGTACTTGAACAGCAATTTAAAAGAAAAGTTAAAAAAAAAAAAAGAATTCGTGGTCCCTTCATGCAATGAAGGAATAGGCAGCCATAAAGTAAGAACGAGGACCTGCCTTTCCACTGACAGAGAACAATAACCAAGATGTATTTTGAAGGGAAGGAAGCCAGGTGGAGAGCAGGATGTGATGCATTTTAAAAGGATAATGAATGAGAACGTGTGTGACGGTGGTGGTGGTTTGTACACGGAGTACCTCTGGAAGAACACAGGAGGACGGCCAGCCCCGCCCCCCCCCCGCCCCGCCCCTGGAGAGGGGCCTGGGCGGCCAGGCAGCGCCGAGGGGCGACTCTCACTAAATGTCCTTTCTGAGTGTTGAATATTGAATCATGTGAATGCACTGCCTATTCAAAATACAGATGCGAATTATGTTTAAATGTATTTCTGTAAATTATTTTTAAAATACCCATTTTAAAAAGACTTTGTTATTTATTTTTAGAGCAGGGGAAGGGAGGGAGAAAGGGAGCGAAACAGCAATTCGTTGCCTCTTGTACACGCCCCATACACGCCCTGAACCTACAACCCAGGCCTGTGCCCTGACCAGGACTTGAACCAGCGACCTTTTGCTTTACAGAATGGTGCCCAACCAACTGAGCCACACCAGGCAGGGCCATTTTTTTGTTGTTTGTTTATTAGACCCTCCTGGCTGAGACCGAACTGCAGAAGTGCTTTGGCTTCATGTTCCCAGGGGTGAGAATGGCAATTAGGGAACCTCAGAAGCTGGGCAGTGAGGTGGGCCCCCCAGGAGCTGGTTGGGTCAGACCTGGGACCCTGAGCCCACCCCAAAGGCGGGAAACGGTTGGGCCTGAGGCTGCACAGTCCCCAGTCCCCAAGCCGGTGTGAAGTCCTTGAGACAGGTCTGTCCTCGTCACATTCTGCCCATGTCCAGCTGATTCTGGCTCAGAGCTGGCCAACTGACAGGGCACGGGTGGGGGTGGGGGTGTGGATGGGTGCAGAGGGACCTGGGCTTGAGGTCACCACTGCCCCTCATGTGAGGAAGGATGAAACGTTCTACACCCTCCCAGTGACGATTGCTAAGTGCCACTCCCTGCCCTGGAACTCTGGCCCTCTGGCACCCACAGCCTTCACAATGCCACCAGGGAAGCTTCTCCCCACTCACTGAGTCCCTGCTGTGTCCCTGTGCCAGGTGCTGCTTTCCCTCAGGACGGAACGGGCCGGAGTGGCCAGGACCTCTGTCTCACCTGCCCACACTCCCTAGGGGTGAGCCATGCCGGCACCTGTCCCCCCTGGGGCAGGACCTGTCTCTAGCCTCCCTGACCAGACCCCGCGCCCACTCCCAGGGTCTAGTCAGCCTTGAAGCCGGAGCAGCAGGGCCCCGGGCATGGCAGCGTCACAGACACCCATGCGGGGCGGGCAGCAAGAGCTCCGCTGCCAGGAGACCGTCTCCCTGGATTCTCTTTGAGGCAGCAGAGATGTGGATTAGGGAGGGTGCCTCCCACCCTCTCCCAGACAGGGGGTTGCTTGGTGCTGGGTTTCCAGAGACGGGGGCAGGGCCCTCGGCCAGGACCGGTCACTGGGGCTGCCTGGCGTACAGAAACCCCTTCCCGGCCCTGTTGTCAGTGGTTGGGGCCAGAGCAGAGAGGCAGTAAGGGGAGAGACTTCCCCGGCTCCCCGGGGAGAGAGGTGACGGCTCTTCCTGTGTTGCCAACACCAGAGGGTCTTTGCTGCACTTCACGAGTGGAGAAGGGGTCTCCCCACACCTGTCACAAAAGGTGTGACAGACCTACTGTGTGCCAGGACCATCACATACGCCATCTCTGGACCTCATAAGAAGGTCGAATGAATATTCCCACTTTGCAGAAACAGGTTCAGACAGCTGGTGGCTTGCCCTGAAGTCACATACCTGCCCCCAAAGTCCCTGGCCTCTTTTCTGTCTCCCACCCCCACCTCTTTGTGCCATAGATGCTTGTACATCCTGACTGAGCTCACGGGCCAGGTGTGGCATTGGCGCTGGGCAGAACCTACAGGTGCGAGCGCTCCAGAAAGGCGCCACAGCCCATGCAAGAGCATAGAGCCGGGGCTGCTCCCCAAAGGGACAGGACGTGTGAGATTCGAGTCTAGGCAATGTGGGGGATGGGCATGGGGAGCGGGGGTCAGGAAGGCTGGTCGGGAGGTATAGGGTCCGAATGCCAGGACAGAAGCCTGTCCAGGGAGTACTGGGGCACAGCGGGAGGTTTCTGACTAGGGGACAAGTATGACGAGAAGTGACTTCCCAGAAGGTGACTCCCAGAGGGATGAGCACTGGGCCACCGACTAAGGCAGAGAGGCCCTGGGCCAGGGGCTGGGGACAAGCAGAACAGGAATAAGGATACTTAGCCTGAAGCTCAGCTGTCTGCTTACCAGCTGTCTGATCTTGGGCCAGTTACATGGCTGCTCCGGGCTTACGTCATCTGTAAACGGGCAAGATGCACCTCACAGGGCCCTTGTGAATGGAGGGAATTAAGATGTGTCTGGTGCTTAGAGCAAGGCCTGTGAGAACACGCTGAGTGCTAAGTCTCGGCTCTCTGCTGTTGCCAGTCCTGTCACCCTGGGACCCAGCCCTAAGTTACGTGACGTGCTGGTTCTGGTGGGTTCCTGTTCTTGGAGGGGAAGCAGATAAGAAGGCAGGAAGCCCAGGGAGAAAGGAAGAGCCACCCTCACACAGACCCAGGTGCCCCTGACCCAGATGGGTGGCCCTCACTGTTTCCAGACCCCTGGGAGATGACCAGACAGGCGAGGACTGGCCCTGGTGGCTGGGTCCCTGCCACACCCTATCCTTGCCTCGGCTCCAGGTGGACAGGGGGACTTCACCCCAGTTTCCCTGTGCCCACTCACCAAGGTTCCAAGTCAGGCTCCAGGGCCCCGCCCACCAAGCCCGGGCAGTGGGCTGGCGGGGCACGCCCAGGAGGCTCTAATGAGGTGTGTAAAGGCCACAGAGGCTGCCTTGGAGTCTCAGTCTGTGGGAGGGCAGCCGTGGCAGCTGCGTGCGATCAGCCCTTTGCTGGCGGTTGCTTGGGTGAGCAAGTAGGCTCCGAGTCATTCGGCTGTAATAACTCTAATCTGCTCATTACCACTCTCAGGCTGACGGGTGACTCAGGCCGGAGGTGCCAAGGGTTCCACCCTTCCCCCAGCTCGCTCACATCTGTGCAACAGCTGGGCTCCGGGACAGCCAGTTCTCAGCAGGCTCGGCACCATCTGCTTCCCCTTGGGGGGGGGTGCACCCAGAG